AGGGCCTTGTAGACCATTGTAAAAACTCTGGCTTTTTCTCTGGGTGAAACTGGATGCCACTGGAGGGTTTCGAGTAAGAATGATATGATTTAACTTATTTTTGTGATGTAGACAATGCATTCATTGTAAGGAGGTGAGGGCAGAAGCAGCAAGTCAGACAGGAAGCTCTTCCGGAAGTGGAGGCATGATATAAGGAGGAGGGCCCAGAAGTGGTCAGTTTCTGCTCATATTTTAAGGTGAAGCCTTTGATGTTGAGCAAGAGAAAGAAAGAGCAGTTGAGGATGACTCTGAGGTTTGGGGCCTGAACAACTAGCAAGAAGGCACTTCTCTAAAAGTTTGTTCTATATTAACTCATCTAAGCCCCATGCTAAACTGATGAGGGAGTAGTGGCATTGTTCCCATTTTCAGTGAGGACACTAAGACACAGAGAGGGTGTCCAGGTTGCACAGCTAATAAGTGACACAGCTAGGATTTGACCAGTCAGACTACTTCCAGAGCCTGTACTCTCAACCACTGCACCAAGCTTCTCTCCATGAGAGCAGCCCTTTTGGATAAAAGGTTTTTATCCAACCTTTTCATTGGGAGAAAAATGTCTAAGACCAAGGATAATTCTATTATCTAGGCAGAACTATTTGGGACTGAAGTAGGATGTTTGGCACAAGAATGAAAAGAAACAAAGGAACAAATTCATGGACAGGATGACACAAAACAGGCGAAGACACACTGACAAGGATTTGTGCCGCTTTTAAGACAGAATACACCAGCTCTGAACTCTCAGCTTCCACTTTCAGATAGTCAGATGCTTACATCATCCCTACTGAGGTTGTTAAGTGCTAGGCAAAGAATGGCACCTTGTGCAGCCTAGACACTTTAAGCCTTTACTACCTTGTAACAAGCTTTCTCCCCTTAGTGACCAGACTTTCCCCAATATAATTGAATACCATGGGCCCTGGAATATATAGAAGATCCAGCACTATTTTCATAACGCTGCAGTATGAATATAGACACAAAGGCTCTTTTGGATGTTAGTGGCATTGTGGTTTGCAAGAATTCGGGGGTTACATGTACATGTACAGCCTGACCTGATACCAGCTGCCAGTAAAAGCTGTGATGGCATCCCAATAGCCACGTAAAAGTAAGAGCCCTCTAGTCCTTTCTCTGGGGCAGGCTCGGATCACAGGACATGCTGTGAGTCTGTTCCACTGTTGGAAGTATATGCTGGAAACATCTAGAACCTTTATCCTGCCCCATGCCCAAGCAACACATACTGTATGCTACCTGAAGTGGAATCATAACGCTTACTCTTTCTTAAGCTAGGGACTTACTTCCTTTTCCTTCCCACTCAACTCTGCTGAGTCTGTATTATCAGTGCATGTGTTATTTCATATCTTTACCGTTACTACAAAGAGCTTTTAAATACATTATCTCATTGAAGCCACCAACAATCCAGCAAGAAGAATATGTACTAGTATTCTAATTTTATAGAGGAAGAAACAAAAGGTGAGAGAGGTTAACTGCCCTGTCCAAATCACATGGCAGCTAACATACAAGCCTCACAGCTTCAAATTCAGCCAGATTTCCACACCACCACGCTGATACCCTGGACCCTGCTACATATTTCATCTATGGCTGGTCAGTCTCCAGATCACACTCTCCATAATAGGTTCCTGCACAACAGCCTCCTTATTTCTATCACGCACAGTGGCTTTCTTCATCTTTCCCTCAATCAGCTTACTTATCTTTGCCTTTATGATCACATTCCCCCAACACAACCTCACTCCACCAGATAACTCTTCTTAAGGCACCACTTTGATCACACCTCTTCTCTCTCACAAACCACTGAATACCCCCACTAGTCTGGAGAATGGGCCCAGATGCTGCAGCAGCATGTCCCCAGGTCAAAGCCCGCCTCCCTTGCTGGCCCCATTTCTCTACAGCACCTAAGGGAAGCTTCACTCTGATTTGGTCCATTGGCCATTCCCTCAACTTTTCTAATACTTTCCTTCCCCTGGCCCTTGATTTGTTATTCCTTTTCACTTCAAACACCTTGCCCATTACCCCACCATGCATTTTGAAATTCTGTACATCTTAAACACAAAGCTCAAATTCAAACTTCTTCATACAGCCTTTCCTGTTGGCCAAGTGACAGGATTTTCACCCATGCAGCAACTATCATATACTGTCATGAGACATAATATCCTCTACCAGCCTGTAAGTTCCAGGAGGCCCCAACTATGTAGTGGGCATCTCTGTATCACTCTAATGACAACACAGGGCTCTGAACACAGCAAGTGTACAACAGATGTGCAAAATGCTTTGGTTAAATTAAATGAGTATTCAGGTTAAAAACCACCTACCCATGCAAACATAGGCATTACAGTCCAAATGAATATACATACACACACCACCACAAACTTACTGTAACACGCACACATATGCATACATGTAACACCACAAATTTATTATAATACACATACACACAACTGAAACTCTGATGATCTCCAGAGTTTTCCAGTCTTAAAAACATGACAGAAATAAGGGATAAAATGAGAAAATGTAACCTCATAATCTTATAATTTAGGTAACAATGTAGTCTACTCAATTGAGCATTCTACTAAATTAAAACTGTAAAATTGCAATGTCCCTTACATATTTAAAGTTTTGTATTTCTATTTACTTATAATATATACATTTCCAAGGATTCATAGAGCCTTATATCACAAACCAGATTTTGTAACCGGTCTCTTTATTTGTTAAGTAGCCAAATTCAAAGGCAATAAAGTCCTGAAAAGTAGGATAAAACCCCAATAGAAACTCTCTGTGACCCACAAAGCCCTTTAATAAAACACTGCCTATGTAAATTCTATATCCAGTGTATGCATTTTGATCTGCTGATGTTTACATGGAGGATGCTTCTGCCAGCTGTGATTTCTTTTCATGTAACATTTTAGCTCTCCACTTTGATTCACTTTGATTCGTATAATTTAGAATGTGTTTCCATCACATGTTGCTGTTAGCTGATAGACACGTCAAATGTTTCGAAGACTACAAGGCAGTTAGGAGAGGTTGTACAATGCAGTTCAGAAAATATGCAAGGAAAGAAATCAAAATCTCTCATTTTACCTTCTTTTTTTGTTTGTTTTTATGGGTTGGTTTTTGTTTTTTTGTTTTGTTTTGTTTTGCTTTTGGTCTTAACCCTACTGGGGTCTTTGGCAATTGTGTGTATATCTAACAGCACCTACCACACCTTCTCATTTAGCACAAGTTGGATATTAAGAGCCAAAACAAGAAAACACCTCAGGAACCCTGGAACTCTCAGAGAAGTAAATTAGAACTCTGTTTCTTTTAGCTCTACTCTCCTGTTCTTTATTCTTTATTTTTAAAATTATGAATTTCCCCCCATTTTCAACCCTCATCTTCTCATACTGTAAGCAAGTGAAGTCACTGAAGGTCTCTTAAAGGCACATAACCTTATGAATCTGCTAGGTGTGAAAAGGCCATGGTATAAATTAATGACTGGGGAAAGACACAGAACTGCAGGAGTTTACAGTGAGTAAATAGACTTTGTATTATAGTAAGTGTCACTGTGTGTTAAACAATAATTGAGCCACAAAATACTAATTGTTTAAAGTCATACAAGCAAAAGGAGTCCTTCCAAAATACAGTATAAATATAACAGTAAAAACAAGCCATAAGAAAAAAATTTTAGATGTCCAAATATTTGTGTTTCTTGGACAAAGATCTACTGACCATTAGTTTGGGTTTGAGAACAAGAGCATTTTAGAAAGTAGCAATTTTAAAGAAGCAAAATGAACTTTAGTCCTTCATTATATAATTTACAAGTTTGTAAAAAGAAATCCAGGTTGTTAATTAATAATTCTGGAAAATATTTTTTCACACGGTATATCTAAAACAATAATTACTATGTAGTCTCTACTGAGAGAGGCCCTTATGTAACTAAATCTTCCCTGGATAATCTCTGTGTCACCGTTTGCCTCCAATTGTTTCCCACACCACTCTAACACATCTCTGCAAACTGTGATGGGTGGTCTAAAGTCATTTATAATTTCAGGGTACCAGCAATAGACTAATGACATGAACACTTAACACATCTAACCAATATACATTTAACCAAGAAAATCTTTTAAACCATGACGATATTAGAAAGTGACATTATAATATAACAGATGAAAAATTTTTCCCAGTGAACTACACAGTACTTTTTCCATTGACAAAATCATCTTTCTAGAAATATACAAAAATAACTGAAAAACAATAACAGCAAAGTGTTGATTAAGCTGTCAGAACAAATCACTGTTTTCAATTATCAGCCTTAGAGTTAAGTGCGTCAATGTGCTCATCAAAGGAATAGTTACTTCTAAATACTTCATACAACAAAAGGTTGTGAGAAAGTCTTATCAGCAAAACTGGTGGTAGATACTCAAGAGATCCATTAAAAATTATTGTTAGTGATTTTAAATGACATCTTACCGAAAATTCACTTAATATTCACTTTGTTAGTTCTTTAGAATGGGAATTTAACTCTAGAATAAACACAGTGTCTTCTGAGTATAGTCAACAAGCTACAAAGCCAGAGCCCACAGTTAGAGATTTTTAGACCTGGCAGAAGGAATCCATTGTACAGCATGGATCTCTGCCCATACTCAAAATATCTAATGATATTTTTCATTTATATTGAACTTCTTTGAAAAGTACTGTACTATTTCACATGATCCTTTCACTGTAACAGAATGTATTAAACAGAACCTTTAGATGAGGTCTAAAAGCAGATGAAAAACTGACTGCTTTAGGCTCTACCAGAAGATTCTGTTACCTGGGAGTTTGAGCTCTCATATATCAGAAACCACATAGCTTATCATAAAAATACAAGCTCTTGATTTTGAAAAATATACAAAATGCACTGCACATGGAAATATATCTTGATTGTCAAGGAAGACAAGATATCTGTCTCATTCATAGATTCCTGTTGTGCTTGAATTTCAGTGATCTTTGTTTTTGCAGATTCCATTTTTCACAGCTTTGGGCAGCCTCTGACCTTTCGTGTAAGCTCGGTACCAAAAATGGAGAAAAAGCAGCAGAAAGATGCACCCATAACTCATAATGATGTACAGAAAAACTGGAAACTGGTACTTGCAATCCTCCATGAAAAAGAACTGGCTTATGTGGATGGTGACAATAATAAACTGGACCTAACAGATGAAAGAATGAAAAATAGTTCAGACATGAAGAGTCACAATGGAGCAATTATTTCATGCATTCTTTGCCTGCTTATGTTTCACCACTTTTCAACCATCTCCAGGCTACTGTTGGGTAGGGAATTTTATCTTTCAATCTGACCTCCATGGGAGTGATAGTGGGTGGAATAGTGTCAAAATTCAGATGGGAATGTGGACCCACTCTTCAGTGCCACCAAACTGTACAACTCCAGAGGACCCATGCAAATGTCCCTGGAGCTGTGTGATGTGGCAGCCCTTTCACACTCAGAGAGCCATCTGGGCAGGTTTTCTGCAAGTCTTTGACGTGAGTCCTTGATTGCTGAAATGCTCAGGGGACCACTACCTTATGGCCTAATATTTAGGACACTTTTAATTTCAAATAGTTTGTTGTTAGGCAGGTATTTCAAGTCTGTGGAAATAAAAACATTCTAATTAGAGCCCCACCAATTTTGTAGGAGCCAAATCATCTCTGAGTCCTCATCTCTGCCATAGGTAAAAAATACATCCTATCGCTCTAGCTGGAGTGGCTCAGTGGATTTTGAGCACCCGCCTGTGAACCAAAGGGTCGCTGGCACAACCCAGTATAGGGCACATGCTTGGGTTGCAGGCCAGGTCCCCAGCAGAGGGCGTGCAAAATGCAACCACATATTGGTGTTTCCCTCCCTTTCTTTCTCCCTCCCTTCCCCTCTCTAAAAAGAAATAAATAAACAAAATCTTAAAAAAAAAAAAATCCTATCTGCCAACAGCAGCAGAGACTCTGAAAGGAGTGAGACAGATTTGATGCCCAAGGATGCTGTTCCAGAACATTCTACACAATTTTAAGGGGACACTTCTGGGTCAATGTCCAGATATTTTTGGATGCATTTTTTCTCCTCATTAAAAAGCAACATGTATTCTGTGGAAATTTCAGAAAAGTAAAAATCTATAAATAAAAATAAATAACAGTTACCCACAATATGTCCAGTTACCACCATAGTTAAGATTTTCACAAGTTTCTCTTATTGTCATCATCAGTTATCCTTGCATTATATTAAGTAACTTCTATGGTACTTCTATGCAGCAGCTATGATTATTCCTCTCATTTTTCAGGGGAAGAATTGAAGCCTTAGGAAGCCTAAACAACATCCACAACATTCTATGCAGTTGTGATTGTGTATAACTGAGATAGGTGAAATAATAATGAACAAATGTCTATCCTTTCTATATAAGTATTTTTCCACATTATTAAAAAGCCTTACAAAATTTACGAGTATGTTAAGTGAAAAAAACCTAATACAAAATTTTATATGCAATGTAATACAAATCATGAAAAAAGCATACAATATATGTGCAGAGAGGAAAAAAACTAGATAAGAATTAAATGAAATATCAGCTCTGATTATCCCTGGTGATGGAATCATGTTTATTTTTCTTTCTTTTGCTTAACTTGACGTTCTTATTTCTCTGCAATGAGCACATATTACTTTAAAATCAGAAAATACACTTAGAATGCAATTGTGAGTAATTTTCATGACTTCCTTACATTCCTAGGTAGGAGTTAAAATAATGTATTGGACCATTTCCTTAGGGTTTGTTATTTAGGGTGCTGTCAATCTGAAATACAATAAACAACTCTGCAAGGATATACTCTGATATTGACTGAAGATCCTTACAGACCAAAATATCAGTCTCTCACCTGGGGCAACACATTATATAAATACACCAAATTTCATTTTAACAAGTTATAGGATTTTGATAGAACTTAAGTTTCAACATGCTAAATTCATACTTTCTCTTCAGTATTATTGGCAGAATACAACAATTACTATAGACTGTAAATCTGGAAAGATGAGGATTATAAGATTTTTCTTTTAATAGAAGACAAAATTTAAAGCAAATCATCATCTCAACCCATGGTTGCTCTTCGAAAAATACAGAATGATGCCATATATTTTTAGGGTTAATGCTTGGAAAGTATTGTGAGGCCTAAATTGAGCGCCTCTGCTCTTCTGAACATTGGTTACTTGAAGACAGTTCTCTAACTTATGTTAACAGGGAAAAAAACTCCTAAAAAAAGCAATTGTGAATAATTTTCATGACTTTGTAATATTCCAAAGTAGAAATTAAACTAATATATTCTCTTATGTTTGGTTATTTAGGGTGCTGTCAATTTTGTCAATGCATGTATTACACCACAACTGTCCACCTTCAATCCTCACAGTACTTTTACTAGTTGGAGGAAAAGAGACTTAGAAATGCGAGGGCTAAATAGGCAGGCACATGGGAAGGCTCACGATTCCCTTCAAGTTACACTCCCTCAAGGTCACTTAGGTCTAGAATATAAAACTTATGACTTCTAATTTAATACTATACCTATTGAGGTTCATGTAACTTTGAGATTATTTTTATCATAAATGTTTATTTTATATAAATGTATAAAATAGTACAAAGATGGTATAAAGATACACATTTTAATTGTCTGAGCCTCTTGGCTACCAGATTTGCTTTGCTGTCAATAACGTTCGAGACAAAAGTTTTAATAAGAAAGAAATGATCGTGATGTGATGCTATGTAGAGGCCAGACGCTTTATATCCTGAATGTTTTATAAATTCTCTTCTTTATTTAGTTAATATCCTAACTCACAGGGAAGACAAGTGACTCTTGTTTAGTTTCATACGTTGTTTTAAAGAAAATTAACTACTCACAAGCTGTAATGACGTCAAATATTTTTTCCACCACAAATACTTCTGGTAGGCTGGTCCCAATGCACAAAGTCCATAGTAGGAATACATGACTATATGCACAGCTGTATTTAGAAAGGCATGAAATGTTCCCAAACCACCTGGAAAATAAAGTTATTATAAACTGAGGGCACTGCTCCCAATGAAACAGGTTTTTGTCTGAACTGAGATTTTAGTATATTTATTTATTTAATTTTAGTGGGAAGAAAACAGTATATGAAACATCAATCTTATTAAACAGCTATCAAATTAGAAGGAGCTGGATAATATCTTCATATAGTAAAACAGAATATACAAATCTTAGAAAATAAATTAACATGTCTTTATGTTATTATAGCTTGACTTAAGATGGGCTTATGATTTGGGTTTACTTTAACAATCTAATTTGAGTTACTTTTTAAACACGATGTATTGTTAAATAACAGTATTCATTCATTTTTTAGTGAGGGTTAACATATATAAAGTGCACAAAGCACATTAATCTTAAGTGTACAATTTGATGGGGGTTTTAATATGTGCATAGACCCTCATTACCATCACCAAATTCAAGGTATAACACATTTAGGACGCCAGGTAAGGTTTCCATACCCCCTTTCAAAGAATACACTCCTCACAATATAACATTTATTCTGATTTCCATAATCAAGTATTAGTTTTGCCTGCTTTTAAGCCTCAAATAAATAGAATTATATTGGATATTTTCTTTTGTGCCTTTCAATCAACATGTTTTAATATTAATCCATGTTGGTGTGCATATTAGTAGTCTGTCTTTTTAATACTGTATAGTATTACACTGTATGAATACATCAGAATTTATCCATCCTCTTATTAAAAGTTACTTGGATTGTTTCCATTTGGAATTATTATGAATAAAACCACTAAGAATACTTTTGCTATATCATCATGTGAAATCAAATTCACTTTTTACACTCTCAAATTTCAATAAATATTTTCAGTGCCACAAAACTCTGGCAGTGAAACCAAGGTTTTCATTAGTTAGCTATGCTAGGTTTGCTTTAATTATTGTTTTTACAAATAAACATTCATGGTTAAACTGTCTTTTTTTACTGCTTCCATTTGATTTTATGAACTGTGCCTTCCTATGTTGGTTTTCATCTTCCGATTTCCCCACACCTCCTACTGGTAATATTTAATTTAGAAGCAAGGAACGCTGGGGGAATGTAAGCAAAGATCATTCCAACTGCTTTTACCTGGACCCGTGGTACAGTGGAAGTGGTAACTGGGTGATTAGTTGACAGTGGGGAAAAAAAAATAAAACTCTTCCCTAACATCTCTTTCTAAAGTGGCACAATCTAGAAGAATCTGCATTTTTCTCTGTATAGCCTGATTCAGTTTAGTAATGTTGGCCTAAAATTTAAATTTTTCTCCAAAATATTCTATTTTCTTTATTCTAGTATTCTTTTATTTCAGAAATAAAGTAAAACTTCACAAACTTGGACTAATCATGTTAGAAGGAGTACCAAACTCATAAATACTATGAATTACAGAAAGTTTACAGCAAAATAAAAATTGTTGCACCGTAGAAGCTAATTACTTTTAATAATCACTTATAATTGTGGCAATTCTAGATACCACCACTGCTAAAGTACTCCCTTAAAATAACCTGTTTTAAATAATTGTTTTTAAGTAGCTTAAATATTCCTCCAATACCTCATTTATGATGTATTGTCCCTTCATAAACTTTCTATTTCTGCATAAATAAAATTTTTGCTGATACTTCAATTATCACATATTTCAAATCAGAAGAAACTGAAGCTTTTATTATTTACATTTGGGTTAGTTTTCTTTTCCAAAAGAAACTTAAATAAATATTGTGGTGTCAAAACACCCTTTCTAGGTGTAACTTAAGAATAGAATAGTTATCTGTATCTAATAGTTTAGGAATCAAGCTGCTGAACAGGGATAAGCCAAATAACTCTCAATTCTATTTGTGTCTCATGATTATATACACCCAGGAAATCTACTGTATCCTGATAACCAATTACATCAGAGCCTGTCTCATTAAGACACCACTTCCAATTTTTGGTATAAGAGTGTCCACATTCCCATCACTTAAATAATGATAAGCTTTCATCTTTTAAATGTCCTGACATGAGCATTCTATGGACAGGAATTTAACAAAGCACTAGTAAAGCTAAGAGTGTTGAGTAAGGATTACTGAAAAAATAAAATATGAAAATCAACTTGTATATTTTCTCTAGTTTATGATTATTTTCTGAGAAGTTATTTTAATGAGTTTGTTCACAAAACAGTCACATTTTAATTAGCAATGCTTTTTCATATCTTCTTTGAAAGGCTTCTCTAATAAAGTTTTTTCTAAGCTTGCTTTCTTCTTTGTAATACCAGTTCTAAAAAGGAAACATCTCAGAATGAATTACAATTAGTGCCATCGCATTTACTCCTTTGATTTGGGACAAATAAAGGGATCACTTGGGTAATTACTATAATTCTCCATATCTCTGGAAAGGAGTTTGCGCATAATGTGAAAACCTGTCACAGAAATATTTTCATCACATTCAAAAGAAAAGCTGGATTGCTATTATCCCAGAGAGTTGTACAACAGGCAAACAGCAAATGAAACACTAAATACAAATCAGCTACGCTCAAGTTTTTGAAAGAACAGTTTTAGATGGGCAGTTTCAGTCTAGGAATGGAAGCCAATGCCAAACCACACCTCTGGTAAGAGGTTAGCTCTTATTGCTGCGCTGGTCACTGACTAGATAGCAGGTGCACATGTGTCTACTGGAGTCCACAGGGAGGCTGAACAGAAATGCCAACTCATGGAGCCTATGAGAATAAAAAACATTATTTTCCACTATTTTCATTTTGTAAAGCAGAAGAGGGATTAAGGTATGGACAATGAACCCACCCACAGTGCTTAATGTCCATAAAAAGGGTAACACTGAAAAATAGAGATATATCATACGTTTAAATCTCCATTCTTGAAAGCATTTTTTTGAAGTGGATTCAAAGATAGAAATTAGGAAAGTGCTCAACTCTGTTCTTTAAATGAAATTTACTTTTCCCATTACAGAATGAACAGGTATTCAATACAGAAAAGTTAGAAAATACAGAGAAGGGGAGAGAAGACAGAAACCACTTTTTTGTGTGTCAATATCTCGAAATCCCTGTATTTTGGGGAATTGCTTTCCAATCTTTTTTCTATTTTTATGTATTTTCCAATATTGTGATAACATTCTGGTTTCATGAAAGAAATCTGAATAAATAAATTATAAGGGTATAAAAGAACATTTTCTAGCATCCTTTAAAAATAGAATAGTCACTATTTCTGACAATTTAGGAGTCAAGCTGCTTTAAAAAGTAGCTAAATGCCTCTCAATATCATTTGCGTTTCACAATTATATACACAGAAGAAACTGTAACCATTCAATTAGTGGTTGTTCAGGTCTTTTTCAATATTTCACTAAGACAAAAAAATGATGTCAATAATATCACTGTAGAAAGAACTTAGAGGCACAATATGCATGTGGGAGAAAAGAAGTAAAGGTAAGTAAAATAATGAAGATTAAATAATACAGCTACCCCTGATCTGTGAAACAGACATGGTTGAGACTATCTTGTAATGTAAGTCTAATTTTTACATTAACATATAAGACAACACAGCTACATTTACCTTTTTGAATGCTCAAAAAATAAATGCCAATTTGGGGCAAGAAAATACTTTACATACTGGAAAATCTGATGCCCGCGGACGTGGTAGGGACAGCCCTCCGGGCTCCTCTAGGTTCTGGCATCTCTTTTGTGCCACTGGCTTTTATTCATGTTCTCTCATGCTCTGAGGCACGAGGCATGGGGCATGAGACATGCAGATTTTTCCACGTGCCCAGAGAGTCTAAAGCTCAAATGAAAGTTCCTCGATTATGGTTCCTCTTTTTTTTTCAGTCTTGCAGAGTGAGAGTGACTAATAGAGGTGAGCCATTCACGGAAATGTTAAAATGTAGTCTAATATGGGCTGCAGGCCTACTTAAAGACTACTAAAATTTAAGAAACTAGCATGAATAAATCCGCCAATCAGAGATAAATGTATTTGAAAAAATAAATAAATAAGTAAAAAATAAAGATGACTAACACATGCAATATGGATATATTCAGTACAAAAATAAAGTGTGTTCTTGAGTTTCACCCAAGACCTATTCAATCAGAAACTCTAGGGGCTGGGATATTGGCAACTGTGTTTTGCACAAGCTCTCCAGGTGATTCTCATACATGCTACATGGACTTAAAGAAAAAAAAATCCCCCAATCAACTTTTGCTAATAAGATAAGAATACATCCTTGGAAATACCACTTATTTAAAACTTTATGATAAGGTAAAATCACTTAAACTCTTGTTTTTTCCAATTCTAGATATTCAGAAGCATAAAAACCAAAACCAATTAAAAGAGCCTGTTTGCCAAGCTTCTGAGTTAAACTATTCTTGACTTAAAAAACAATATCACAGCATCCTTTAATAGGGTAGGGTACTTTCAAATATTGGGACAACTGCAATTTTTCACATCTTTAAAGAGTTGTTAGGGGTTAGAGTATTATCAGCTATTAGAAATTTGAAAACAAAGAAGACATAGAACTTGAGATAAACAATGTAACTCTCTGGATACATATAAGAAATAGATCTATAACTATAATTCTATAAAACCAAGACTTTTACCATTTTATTTGTTTATTTATTATTATTTATTTAAAGATATTTAATAGAACTCTATGGGGAAAAAATTAAATTCAAGCAAAACAACTAAAAAAATATGTGTAGAAGACTGTACCCAAAAGTCAATGCCTTTTTAAGGATGGAGGGTTGGAAAAGGATCTAGGTAAGAGCCCAGCATTTAGGTTTCAAGTAATGATGGAAGTTAGATCAAAGCAATTCTTTGATGTTTTGAGTTCCTCTTAAATCACATTTAAGGATAGATTTAATGTTTATAGCATACAAAATGTTATCATTTATAATAAATGATCCCAATCTCCCTTGGCTACCTGCAGCAAATTTGACTCCAAACCACCAGGTCCATGGCATGATGGTATGATGGAAGACATGCAGAAAAGTCACTTGGCTATTTTTCTTACGCAGAACAAAAAAGATCTGAAATAATTGAAAACAATCAAGTTTGTATAAAATCATGCAATAATTTATCTAGAGCTATAAAAATATTGGCAAAGTGAAAACTAGTTCACATCACAATTTGCTTTGAAAGGATTGACTTACAGAATGATCACAGAAGCAGCTGATTCTCCAAGGGGCAGTTCTAAAACTAATTGGTATGATGTCTAGTCATAGGAGAATCGATAAAAAGGTAAAAAGAAATTGCATGCAGATTTGAAAATCAAAGATGTAAAGACTGTGGCAACAATTATTGGAAAAAATGTGATTGGTCAAAAAGAAATCCACATGGATTTTGAAGTATATGGGAAGGTCCTTAAGGAATCTTAATTCTTAGGACTGAAATTATTCTACAGTGCTCTCTAACACATCCTACTAATTGAGGTAAGGGGTTAAGCAAACTGAAAGAGGACTTGCAACAAATCAGGAGTTCGCCAGTTATTATTAAAGAAAAGTGAAAAGGGAAAAATTTGAAGCTTTAATTGGGAAAATAGGATGGGAAAGAAAGCAAAGCTGCCTTGGAAAAATGAGAAGGGCAACAAAGACACAATCCAGGTTGAATGTTACCCAGTGGTTTGCAGAAACTCTACAAAGGAGTAGAATAGAGAGGATTTGGGAGAAAATATGTTTTAAAAAATATTGAAAAGCAGAATTAAATGTTGAAAAAAATACTCAAAATTCAGGAGAGCAGTGATGACTTAGACTTTTAAATGTGGGACTGAACTGAGTAGCAGAAACAGTACTCATAGGAGTATTTCAGAAGTCTGGTTTAAGAAGAACATCGAGGCAGCAACCATTTCCTTATGGAGGCTAGGACTGAGCACATGCAAAGCAGAAAAAATGAAGCAGAAAAATGCCACAATGCATTTGCTTTTGCACATGAGAGAAGGCAGCATGGTACAACAGAAAAAGCCATCAAACAGCGATCTGGGGTCTTCGCTCATTGGTAGCAGCATTCCTTTGGGTAAGTCACTTAACCTCTTGGCTTCAGTGTATCTTCAGACTGAGAACTTTTAAATAGATCAATAGTTCTCAACCCTGGCTGTGTATTACAATGTCCAATAAGCTTTTTAAAAATAGTCATGCCTGGTCTCTACTCTAGATCATCTAGCACCAAATTCCTGGGGATGGGGCCCAGGCTCTTTGCTTGCTCATGAAACTAAATCTACTGCACCATGAGGGCTGAGAACCACTGGACTACAAAGTGTGGACCTCAGACCAACAGTAATAGCACCACAAATATACACCTGGGAACTTGCTAGTTCCTGGGACCATCACCTGGGAACGTGCTAGATGTGCAAATTCTTGAGTTTCACCCAAGACCTATTGAATCAGAAACTCTAGGGGCTGGGATATTGGCAACTGTGTTTTGCACAAGCTCTCCAGGTGATTCTCATACGTGCTACAGTTTGAGAACCACAGGAATGATTCTAGGCCCACTAAAGTCCTTTCCAATTGTTAACATCGAAAAGGATAAGCACAGTGAGATTTGCTAAAAGAATGAACACATTTGTCTGTCTTAGGCCCAGGACGGGTTCCAGATAACCAAGACCCATGTGCCACAAATATACAATAATTTTTCAGCTTTCCTACTTTGAAAACAAAGGCACATGACTTTTTCTTCTCCTTAGAGAGCCTAATCCAAGGCACTTGCTTCTCCCAGGGCCCAAAATCGGAATTTATCCCCAGGCGGAGAAAAGACGCAGAGGGCGGCTGAAGGTGGCTTTGAAATTACCAAAATTACTGAGACGCCAGGGGTAACTTCACATTGCTGTGTAAGTGTATGAATTTTGAAGCATTAATCCTCTTAAAGGAGTACGAAGGACACAGTGCTTTCATAAGAAGGACCAAAGGTAAAATGTTCTCTGCCTTCTGCTCCCTAAACTTGCTTCCCAAAACAACTGTCATCTATCTACATAAAGATGCAGTTTTATAGTGTTGCGACAGTTCTGTGTTTATCTTAAAACAGGTGGTAGACACAAAACAAAAAGTTTGCAAAAGACTGAAAAATAAGCTTATCCTATCTATTCTTTAAAATTACTGATAATAAAAAGTAGGTCTGCCTGAGGAGGAGAGATAACAAAGTTATCAGATAGCTGAACTCTAGCAGTTTATTGCTTTCATGGAAACGTCAAACATTTACCAAATGAAGTGACTACAGACTCACAGTATCTAGTAGCTCGATAAATTTGGAGAAGTAATAAAGCCAGCAGGTGCGTGCCATCTGCAAAAACACACATAAATGTGAATTTATTATTTTTTACATGGAGGAAAAACTAGTTCTTTTTTAATTTTGGCAAAATACACACAACATAAAATTTACCATCTTAACTGCTTTTAAGTGCATGGTTCAGTGGCAGTAAGTACATCGATAATGTTGTGCAGTCATCGCCACCGTCCATCCACAGAACTCTCACTTACTCTTGCTACGCGGAGACTGTACCCATTAAACAATCCCCACTCTCCTTCCCCCAGCTCCTGGCAACAGCCAATTTACTTTCTGTCTCTGAATTTGACTCTAGCTGCCTCATATAGTAGAGCCATACAGTATTTTTGTCTTTTTGTGCCTGGATTATTTCACTTACCATAATGTCCTCATGGTTCATGAATGTTGGAGCATGTGTCAGAATTTCCCTCCTTGTTAAGACTGAATAATACCCCATTGAATGTATACATGCATTTTGTTTAACCATTCATTCGCCAGGGGGACACTTAGATGGCCTCCAATTTTTGGCCACTGTAAGTGATGCTGCTCTGAATATGGGTGTACAAATATCCTTTTGAGTCTTTGCTTTTAACTTTTTCAGTATATACCCAGAAGTGGAATTGTTGGATTATATAAACTCTACTTCTAGTTTTTGAGGAACAAGATATGGATTTATTTTTAAATCCAAGAAATTTAAAAAGAAAAGCATCATTTTCATGTTATAGAAAACAACATACCTGACTTTGATTCTTTCTGGTTGGCAGGTTTTAGTATTTTTCTTTCAATGCATATGTTCTAATAATTGAGTCATTTATTCATTCTGAGTTCACATTGAGTGTTACAAATAGAATCCAAAAAGTTTTAACATTGATTTTGAGTTACAAGTTTTTCCAAGAGAAACTTACCCTCAATGCTGTAGGTGACTGTGAATAGTCAACAATTTCACATCGAAATGAATAACCTGTACCCCAGCCAGACATTACAAACTGCAAGAGAGAACATGCATTTTAAAGAAGGAAGCACTTGCCCAACAGCTACAACAAAGGTAGTTCTGATCGTCCCTTCATTATGTTCTCAGCTGAGTCAGCCGTCAGTGTAGAGGGAAAGGAGGGCAAGAACAATCACAAGCTAGGAACTTGCTGGATAGCAAAGCAGTAAGAATTTTCAAAATCATAAACTCAGGTATTATTTAGATAAGTTGCATTTGGAATAAAATGTCCATTTCTTGGGATTAATATAGTGGAGAACAAAACACTGTGAGTGTTTTATCTAAACATCAAATACTGGTAGGTATATTTTATGTATCTATATATGCCCATGCATATGTTTGTGTATTCTAAAGGGAATAACGGGTCTGAATTCAATCTTTCTGGGTGACTTCCAATCTTCCCAATTAGTCAAAAAATAAATGGGCTAACCAAAATTCCTCAATGTACTCATAAGCTGGCTGCAACAACTGTGTTTTTCCTGTCCTTATCTGGTGCGTGTAATGTGAAGTCTTAATCATGATCCATGGCTCTTAAAATTCAGGTTGACCAAACACAAGACTCAGATATTAATTTTGCTTTGGGTTCACATGGTAAGTTAAAAATGCAATCTAGCAAGCCTTAATTCCAATACACCCACAAAGTGACCTTATACCAGTGGTGAGAAGAAAAAGCCTACTGTTGATAAGACTGACCCATAATTCAAACATTGTATTGACATTCTTCCAGTCTAATGTGGGACGGTCTTCTTTTAAAACAGTATCTGAAAATGATAAACTATGGACTCTAATTTTAAATTAATGCCTATATGAAATGTTTGGCTTAACTAAGAGTTCTGAAAATATGGCCACTTCTCTTCTTTGGTATCTTATTCTCACAAGTACTAACATCTTCCCTAGAATGTCTTCTTTCTCAGTATAATGGTTATATCATTTTCAGCCAATGAAGTACATTTTAAATTTCTATTTTTAATTACTATTAAAGCTAAAATGACAACTTTACCAGAAATCATCTTCTAAAAATCAAAGATTTATGAGGCATTACCACAATGATATTTCCTTGTTAAAAATAAAAAGAAAAGAAATGAAGGAGAAAGGGCAACTATTTAGATGGTGGTATTTAAAACTACACTATCTTTTCCTAAAATTAGCTCCTAGCTTTGCAGCATGAGATAATTTAACCACAAATATAAACGTGGTAAATTATGAAATCTTGAAAATTAAGATTGGGAAAAGTATAAGACATATTTCATGGGTGAAAAAACATCTTACAAAAAAAGTCAATAAACTTTTTCTAAGGAACAAGGAAATGGTGGTACAGAAATGGCAAATTCTGCTTTACAAAATCTCAGTGAGGATCCTCCTATTCTCCTGAGCTCAGGCTTAACTTCTGACTGATATAAGTAACACTCTAAGTCCACTTACTTAAACTCTTCTCCACTCTTCCCTACCCCAAACAAGCACTGTGCAGAATAGGAGAAGCTGTGTGTCTTGGCCTTCTGGGGGGCCTTCACTGGTCTGTATTTATTAGTGTCTGATGGGTGCCAAGTGACTAACACATTCGAACCATCAGTAAAAAATAAGGCATGTGGGTTCCTTTAGTCTGATTTACTTCCTTTTCACCTTGCTCACATTTACCCAAACATTGCAGGTGGAGAAGTTTACTGTGTAGACCAAATACAATCATGCTCCACCCAATAAACCATGTGTGTGGACGTGTCCCAGAGACGGCATGCTGCTCAGCTGTCGAGCCTTTGTCTAAACAGACAGTGAACTTAATGCTTTACTGACAGGAAGTTTAAGAACACTCTAAACATCTGTGGCACTTTTAGCATATGTGTCTCTTTCAGGCTATCCAGAAGAAAAAGTAATAATTTATATTTAGCAGATAATAAACCCAAAAATGGACATGTAAGTAACTCTAGTTTTAGTGGTTAATGGGAGATAGAAACTCTCAAATTCAGATATTTTCAAAACTTCTTTTATGCTATAATTGCTAAAATAAAAATCAAAACTAACTAGTTATAACTGAATTACTTTCGGAGAGCTATATCTGAGGACAGCACGTTCAGTGACACAATCAGACACAGTATAAAGAGACCTGAGAGACACCTTGGTTCAATCATGACTCTATAAAATGAGAGATCTGAGGCCCAGAGAGGTTCAGTGACGTGTTCAAAATAAGATAGCTAGTTAGTAGTAGCACAACTGGGACTAACTAGCCCCTGGTCTCCTGGCCCCCAGGCCTGTTCTTAACACTGTCCTACAGGAGGCTGTATCTTATCTCAGATAACATGCCAAGAAAAATACATTTTCTCTGTTCTCCATCTCCATTACTTCTTCCTTTTCAGCTACTCATGCGCCATAAAGGACAGTAAGGTGGCCTGAGTTAATTTTTGAAAAAAAGTATAATAGAAGGAAGACAGCAAAGTCAGTCCAGACTTCAGGGAGGCCTGTGAGAAGTGAGGCCGGAACAGATTGAGGGGGACCCGATCAAGTGGATTCACAGCAGGAATCAGGTTGGAAGGATACATGTGTGGCCACCGTAGTGGCAAGGGAGGTCAGAGGGCCCATGATGGACTCTTCTGAGTCCCAGTATGAGGAAGCACAGTATATGATACAGGGGAAGCCAGACAGCACTGGGGGTGGGGGGGGGGGGAGAAAAAAAACAAGGAACCTCAGAAAAGCAGATAAACAGGATGGCTGAGGCATGTTCAGAGCAGAGGGAGAGAAAGTGAATCCACAAGTCTGCTTTTGGGTTCTGAAAGATCCCATGTCTCTTACTGACAATTAAGGAACAGGCTCCCTCGCCTACTGCTTTGTGTGAGCTTAAGTTCTCTGGTGCTTCAACACCCAGCTGCACCAAACCAAAATAGCCCACCACCATGGCGCCCCAGAGCATGCGGAGACTGGGGAGCTCTGCCACGTTGATGGCCTCCCGCTAAGAGTCAGAATGAGCTCCAATGTCAGGACGGTATTCAAGAAGCAGTCCTTCACACCAGCTATGCTACTTTGAGTTACTTAATTTCTCCAAGTATGTTTCCTTAAAACTAACATTTATGGATTCATCTGATCATTTTTTAAGGCTAAGTGCATGCAAGTCTGCTGACTTAATGTTAATTTTTCTCACTACCTGTGAGGAAATTATACATAGATCCTTCAAAGAGCTTAATATCTGGTCTATACCTAACAACACCCTGCTTAATGAGCTAAGTTACTAAAATTCCTTAAATCTTGAAGAGTTTTTACAGTCATAACAAGAAATATAAAACAGGAAGACTCAGGCAAAATTCTCCCCATAGGAATACTAAAGACACTTGCCTCATAAAACATATACACAGAAAAGAGCACTATGAAAAAATTGTACGTTATCATCGCTTTCTTGAGTTCAAAGGGCTTTCGATTTTCCATGAGCTTTGGTCCCAGAGAAGTGACAAAATAGACATAGAGTCCCAAGATGATGGTTTGTGGCAGAGGCGAGGACATGAGGAGCCAGTCTTCAACTCTTGGATCTAAGAGAAAATCAAGATGTAAGTGCACATCCATTCAGCCAAGAGATAACCGCCAGAAGCCAGTGTTCCTTTAAGCAAGCACCTAGACCCTAACGTTGACAGTAACTACTTGGGCGATTATCACTACTATCTTCAGGAGGGTAAAGGGAAACCTTCAGGGGTGGTGCTGGGGTTAGAAACTGAGGCTGTTAGCACTTGAGGCATCTAAGGGCAAAGAGAGGTAGTGGTTACCAGCACGCAGGAGAGAGTCGTATGAAGAAGCCCTCTGGAGAGGAGCTGCAACCTTAAGTTGAGGGATTCGGCCAGGACAAGGCAATTCTGCAAGTAAGGGGCCAGGGGAACAAATAACCCAACACTGCCCTCCTCCCTCTCTCCAGTTTCCTGGGGTCTCCATTGGGTGAACCCAACCCAAAACCAAAGGGCAGGGGAAAAGCCCATGGATACCACCCATACAGGTCCTCCTCCCAGGGCCCGGCACAACATGCGGAGTGAAACTGGGAAGCAGAAGATACTCAGCAAGGTCCTACCATCCATCTATAACCACTGGTAACATTTTAGAGTTCCTCCATCCCGGCATTCTTCTATATACACAAATGTTTGTGTTTTCTGTTTTTGAATGTTCTTCTTTCCCCAAGAAAACTGAAACCTATCTATATATAAATTAATGAAAGCGATCTTAGCATCTAAGTACCTAAAGTGTGGGTTCTAAAAGTCTACATCTGATATTTTGAGGGGGAAAAAAAAGTAATAGCTTTACAACTGTGTAGAAAGAAAGCCCTCTGATCACTGCTATTTCCAGACCAGGAGAGTTAGATGAATTGAAAATTGCCACTCAAGACGAAATGTGATTAAACCTATAATCTTAAGTAGTTCAATGGTAATTTTATTAAATTGCCTCTTGAAGCTGAAGCAGTACAACAAAATAAGTATGGATAAGTTGGCATCTGATGCAAAATTGAGTCTTGACTAACCTTAGGTTGCTAAATACGGTCACTTTTATCCGTTGGCTAAGAGAGATGGGGGGGAATACATAGCCCCTGCTCATTTAAACTGCTAACGATGGAGCCAATTATCGAAAAACTTTGAACACCCTTCAAGTCTGAACTTCCTACCCAGACATAAACTCAGCAAAAGTTTGCTGACATTCCTAACAATACAAAGTTGTCAAAATTAAAAATATTTTAAAATTAAGACAGTTTAAATTGGGGAGAGCTTCGAAATCAGCTATCCAAGAACATGCCACTGAAGTCTTTTATTGCTTCTATTAGCTTCCTTCCTTCACAAGTTTCCTGGGACATCTGTGCGCATTGTGGGATTAAGAAGGCCATGAGGGCCCTGGCCAGGTTGCTCAGTTGGTTAGAGCATCATCTGGATAGACCAAGGTTGCAGGTTCGAATTCTGGTCAGGGCACATACAAGAAACAACCAATGAATGAATAAATAGGTGGAACAACCAATCGATGTTTTCTCTCTCTCTCAAATCATTAAAGGGGAAAAAAAAGCCCACAGGGACCCCTAGCCACAGGTCCATACCCCACCAAGACAGTCTCACTAAATAAAAGTTGTCACACAACTGGGGACAATGGAACAGAATTAGAACTGATCAAACTGTAATGCATTTCTTCTATCCAGTGAGTAATCCAAACCTTAAATACACAAAAATCATAAGCCTTATTAATATGGTTAGTTTTTTACCTCCAATGAAGTAAGGACTCAAAACTAGTACCAAAAAAAGACCTATGTAAGGATGTTAATTAATATTATCACCTTTGGATGGTGACAGTACAAATGATTTTTATTTTTTTCTAAATGTTTCTATTATTAAAGACATCACATGTACGATTGAAAACTCGTTGGGGGTTTTTTTTTAAGTGTCAGTAAAGGAACTCCTGAATTAGAGATATATTTTATTTTACTCTTTCATTGACTCAGCAGAGGGGAGAAAGTCCAATGATGTCATCTTTCTGTTATTCTGCTGTTAACAGTACAAACAAAACAAGTCAGGAAAAGCATGCTGGGCTGGCTCAGGAAGCACAATAAAATAATCTTAAAATAAATAACTTTTTCCTAAAATCTAACATTCTAAGCACACACCTTTCAAAAAACCCTGTGTGTGACTCTCAAGTTCTACAGATTTTTTTTTTTAAACCATTATATTGTCAGGGAAAGACTAGCTAATCTGACTTATTGTTTTTTAAAGCAAATGATAAAACAAAACACTAAGCTTTTAAATCCTATTTCAGCAAAGCTCTGGAGTTTTGATTCTGACTCCCTTACTGACTTGTGATGTGACTTGGGGCCATTGACTTAAAGTCTCTTTATTTAGTTTCCTCCTCTGTGAACTGGGCATAAAACAGCATGTACTGGGGGCAGGGGAGAGGGTTGGGAGACTGGGTGAAAAAGGTGAGGGGATTAAGTACAAATTGGTAAAGCACAGCACAGGGAATCTAGTCAATATTGTAATAACTCCGTATGGTGCCAGGTGGGTACTGAAAATATCAAGGGGGAACAGTTTGTAAAGTATATGAATGACTAACCACTATGCTGTATGCCTGAAACTAATACAAAATAATATTGAATGTAAAATGTAACTGAAAAATAAAATAAAATAAAATAAACAGCAGGTGTCTCAGACAGGATTTAGTGAGCTACTGCATGTGAAGAGCCCAGCACAGCCTAAGTGCTTCGTAAGTGTTGCTACGGTCACAGCAGCACGTGTCAATTCTGTCAGCACCGCAGAATCGCCTCTGGAGTGTTTAAAGTCAAGTGGCCAAAAAAATGACCCTGATCCAACTGAATCAGAATCCTAGGGGCAATAAGGGTCGCAAGCATCCGTATTTTGAAAAAGAAAAAACCAAACTGCCCAGGTGACCGCGATGAACTGCCAGACCTGAGAACCAGAGGTTCGGTGAGCAACTTTCTCCTACATTCAGGGCCCCAAGGCCCCCACCCCATGCCCTGCGGTCACTTTCCACTTGGCTTCCCTGCCTCCTGATCCAATCAGCTGCATCTGATCTTCCACACAGATGCCAAATTCCTAAACGTACAGCTCTGCTCAGATGATGCCTCTGTTTAATTTAGCTCTCTCTACTGAAGAGATAAAATTCAAAGTCTTCAATATTTTCCATGTGAGGTGGTGGGCTTCCCATGATGAAACACAAGTGTAACACTTGTGTAAACACAAGTCAGGTGTCGATGGTGACTTCATAGGGGCGGCGGTAGACGGAGGCTGCTCATTTAAAGTTAATCCTGACTCAGTCTATGAGTTCACAAATTACAAAAGGTTCAGGAGTGAGGTGAGCTCGTTTCCCCCAGAGACAAAAGGCTGATGATGCATCTTCTATTTGGCATCAGAGCTGAGTTTAAGTGTCACGAGCAGAGCCGAGATGAAAGCAGAGCATGTGAAGAGGGCAGGCTGTCTGAGAGTCCATACCCAGTGATTACCAAAGTTCTGACTTATTATCAGACTGGTTTTGCTTTTTTTCCTAAGTGTGTCCCAGAGAGAGAGTACAGGGGAAGTACAAGTGCCACATGCATAGAGTATTAATGCACTTGTCCATCAACTACTTGGAAGGCAGTGTTCTGTTCTTAAGTAGCATGTACTACCTCCAAGAGTACACCCTTTAAAAGTCCAAGCACCAGTAAGATGAAGAAGCTGGGGAAAAAAGCAAGCATGGACCTCAGGACTTTGTGAAGTACTAAAGGTTCAGAATGGCAACACTCTTACTGAGAAACCACCTTCTTGCAAAGAGATCACAAGTAAGCCTACAAAGTTATTACCATCCAAATACAAGGGAAGTTGCTTTTTAAACATTAAAAAACATTATATCATTATTTCAAAATTTGGCACTTCATATCTAAGAATCCTAATAAATCTTCTTATAGCTTAAGTATTAATTAAACCATTTTTAAATTCCGTAGCTATGGAATTTTCCACATGAAATAACTCTGCATGATCACAGCCTCTCTAGCAATCAGAACACCAGAGAATACTGGTAAGTTTCCTGAAGGCGACTCAGGGTTAGGGCCAAAGCCAAGAATACAATGGCTTTGAAATTCTTGGCCCTTGATCAAGTACTTCCCAGGGTAAACAAAGTAAAACTGAACCAAGATGGCCAGAAATGATTCCTAATGGCTTTCAGAAATCAATACCCCACTAAGCAGAAGTGAAAACCCTCTCCTCTTTTACTTTAAAGTGTCCTTACAAAGATGTAAATCTCAACACAGGGAAAAATGTGAAGACGCTTTTTTAAAAGGTGATACGTTATACTGAAAGTGTTTTACAATGAAAATGCTCCATCCGTCATCTGTAACTACCACTCCCACTTGCACTGGGTAGCTTCCCAAACGGCAGAGCACTTCCAAGTATATTATCTGGTAGCTGGTAGGTACCATTTTTGTCTCTTGCTAACAAAGAAACTGAGACTCAAAGACAACACATCACTGGTTCAAGATCATCTAGCCAGGACACAGTAGTGTCAGAACTCACATTTAAGTCTTTGCATCACACACTCCGTACCTTCCCTCCTCTCTCAGCTCTTCAAGTTGGCCTTACTTCAGATGCGTCGCGCTGCCTGCCTCTTCCTCCCATCCCTCCTGCACTGCCTGCCACACTGTCTCCCGGGCTCTCCGTGTCTCTCCATAACTACCCCCAGGCCTCAGCCATTCCTTTTTCTGACTTAATATTATTCAGCTTTTAAATGTAAGTGTTCCTAATAAAAAGTAAAGAGTTGATCCATGGATACAAGTGGAAGTGGAATTCAGAAGTAGTTCATTTTTAAATATTTTATACTTCTAGCACTATCAGATATTCATCATCATTTAAATCAATCTGGCTCTTGAGTTAGCATATTGTGAATCTCTTGGGTTCCTGCATTTGGAAGAGTGAATAGCAAGAGCTGAATAGCAAGGGCTCTGTTCTTCCAAATAGGCCTATTTCAAAAAATGTACCCAAATCTACTTCATTCCCAAGTTCAAATCATGAGAATCAGGGTAGCAAGGCACCCCTCTACTTTGAAAAGCAATTAAAATATTAGTATTTTTAAAAATAAATAAATAAAAGTAAAAACTCTTAGAAGAAAACAAAATACAGTGTTTAAATACTGAACTTATGACGACAAACTTTCAGAGAATGACCTCTAAAGAAATCAGTATGTTCTCTGCATCATTACATAAGTTGAAAAAACTGAAAGGAGAAGAAAAAATAGAAGAAAATTAGAAAGCAATCATTCTTCATTTCCCTCCCAGAGTGAAGCAGCTCTGTTTAAGGGAGCTTTTGTAGATCCCTGGCACTCTCCAGAGGTAAAACTGTTGGGACTTTTTTAGTGAAATAAATCGTTCTTCAGCAGTCTACTGAAAATTATGGCAAATATGAAACAGTGTGTCGTGGCTGAAATTAATGTTAATTGGAATATAAGCCAGTTTTGGCAGGTCCCGAGTGGTGGCGCTTTTGCCTCCTGAATATGGTAAGCACGTGATTCCTGGTGGGCAGGCAAGAACTAATCTAAATGGTGACGGCAGTGAACATGTGTAAAATAAACGAAATGTGAAATACCAGAATACTATCCTAATCAGAAAACACAGGTCCTAGTTTTTTCTGCCAACAACTAACCATGACGTTGGCAAGGCCACATCTCTAGGCCTCAGTTTTTTCAACTCTAAAATGAGGAGTTAGCTTTGATGATATCTAGGTCCATTTCAGCTCTAAAATGCTTGACTGTCTATTTTTAACCACTTACCTTTGTTATATCATTAGAACGTTTTGTAATAGTTATAAAAGCAACACACGTTTAGTAGTTTATGGAAATCTAGATAAACATAGATAAGTAAACAAGCTACTGACGATTCTCCCATACAGAGGTAACTGCTAACCCCCACACAAAAATATATGCGGTGTTGCATAACCTGCGTTCATTGAACATATTTTTAAACTTCTTGCTGTCGGAGTAAATGTTTTTTCCTAACACTCACTTTTTTTTAATGGGCAGAGGGAGAAGGCAGGCATTTCAGAAGTACTCGGGGGTTACCCTGGGAAACACTCCCTGCCCATTCTGACATACCCCTGGAGCGGGGGTGGGGGACGCGGCCCTTGCTGTTCAAGAACCATCCTGAACAGAGCCATTGGTGGCAGTAACTCCTATCTCCTTTTGGAGGAGCATTAGGGCAGAATCAAGCCTAAGAGCTCTGTGCCTCCAAAATCACTTTTCATGGTTGCTCAGTTGGAATGTACCATCATTTACTAACCAATTCTCCTCACTCAATATTAAAATTATTTTCATTATTATAAACATCACAATGAATATCTGTGTGGCTCTATCTATCATTGCACAAAAATCTGTAATGAAACACCTGACTTTACTAATTAGTAATAAAATTAATATTTTGGGTGTCCTTGAGGGAGTCTTAAGCTGTGAAGTCTCTCATTCTGTTTCAGTGAAATCCTATCAAATATGGGAATCTGACATAAAAGGAAGGATGAGCCTCAATTAGGACATATGGTTACTTACCAGCATCCTTGATCCAATTACCATAAAGATGCACTGTCCTTGAAGTAAGATCACTGAAGGCCATTTTCCCCTGGATTTACTGGCTCTTACAATAGGTTCTTCAGTAAAATAAAAAAAAAAAAAATGCATTATGACCTATGAATGCAAATAAAGCCAAGTTTCTAATACAATATTAAAAATGCTAAAAATTTAATAGGAATAACTGGCAAACCAAAAAACTTTACTGAGGCTAAATGCATTAGTGAACCACATTAAACCCTGATGCAGTTGCAAACATTTAAGATTTTTTTTATCATTGTAAAAACAATGCTTACTGTGCTGAAAAGGCTAACGTTCGATGTACAAGATACAACAGGAATAAATGATTATAAGAACTTTCATGGCAGCATCTCCCTTTTATGCAACATGGAAATCAGGAATGGACTGTACCTCCCACAGCAATGCTGAAGTAAAAACCCAGGAGCAGGAAGTCTAGAAGATCCAGAAACTTTCAGAGAAGCTACTCTGATCAAGACTTACAGCTGATCTTCATTCGCAAGAAGGAGGTCTTCTATATGCAAGCTTTTACAATTTAAGTGGAACAGAGGTACAAGGAGGGAAGAAAAGAAGATTTACAAGAGCCAAAGAGAAGCTGCCTAGTTTATCTAAACAGATAGGCAAGAAGAGTTGGAAAAAGACCAGTGAGGAAAAACTAGCCGTATCATACATTAAAATATACTCTAAATCTTCAATAATTAAAACAGCATGACACTGGCTCATGAAGAGGCAAACCAATGAAATACAACAGAGTAGCAAGAAACAGACCAAATGCATTTGGGAATTTAGAACTGCGTTCCACAAATTCTAAGATGTGCGCTTTCCCACAGTTCAACATCTCAGAAATTAGCACACACCTTAGAAGTGGATAGTGTATCATTAAATGAGCAGTATATTTGATTCCAAGTCATATGGTGGGAAGATGAAAAAGTCTGGAAAGAGATGCTGGAGACAGTTGCACAAGAATGAAAATGTACTTAATGCCACTGACCTTCATTACTTAAAAATGGGTAAAATGCTACACTTTATATTATGTGTATTTTACTACCATAAAAAAGAAATTCTCTAGATCTACAATAGCAAAATTGAGTCTTTCTTCCAGCATCCTAAAATAAAACCATGTTTACATTTTACACATGCACATGCCCACATACACATGCATATGGTATTGATAAAGGTGGCATCTCAAACCAGTGGGCAATAAATTACCATTATTTAATAGATAGTGTGGTACACCTGGATAGCCATCTGGAAAAAAAGTTGGATCCAAACATTATACTGCAAACCAAGATAAGCACCAAGTAGGTCAAACATTTAAATAAAAAAAATAGAGCCATCTAAGTACTGGATGACAACTTGGGAGAACATAACCTTGGAGTGGGAAAGGCCTCTAACTTCAGCTTATGTTCTCTTACTAGACATAAGAGAAGACTAACAAATTTAATCACATGAACATCAAGAAGAAAAAAAGGCAGAATGACAAACAGGAAAAAGTATGTTCAATTTATATTACAGACAATTCCTATTCTTCCTAATATATGCAGTTTCTAGAAATTGATAAGAGCTGTAAACAAAGAGGAAAAGAAATGAACAAATTTCCATAGAAAAGGAAATGCAAATAGCTCTTAAAACATATGAAAAGTTGCTTAACTTTAATCATAGTAAGAAACCTACAAAATTTTATTGCATTGGACGGGCCAAAGTTCAAACACTTTTATCAGTTGGGCCAAAATCCAAAAATGTGTTAACTCTGTTGGCAGAAATGTCACCAACTGATACACGGCTGGTGGGAGTGCACCTTAGGGCAGCCCTTAGTGAGGGTAATTTGGTATTAGCAGGAAAAGCTATAAATGCATATTTTTAACCCAGGAATCCTACTTCTAGAAACTTATACACATACTCTCGTATACGCACATATGCAGAATGACATATAGTCAAGGTTATTCATTGTGTCAGTTAGTGGGAGCAACAGACTGGAAACAAGCCAAATGTCTATTAAAAGAGGACTGGTTAATAAATGATAATACATCTAATACCATGAAACAGTATGCCATTGTAAAAAAGAATGAGGAAGCTGTGTGCTGATATGCAAAGGTATCCAAGATCAATCTCTATGTGAAAAAAGCAAAGGAAGGAACAGAATTTTTAAATGACTACATTTTATATAGAAAACAAGGAAGGAAGAATATAAATTTATATTTATTTATATTAGCATAAAAGGAACTCTGAAAAGATATTCATGAGATACCCAGAATGGGGTACAAACTGGGCTGAAGATCTGGAAGGAAGACCCATATTGTCTGGTTTTTGATTCTTGTAAATATATTATTACATATCTAAAAAAAGAATTAAAATATTTTAAAGGGAAAAATAAAAGAGTAAAATCAGCCACCGCTTTGCTGGGACCCCCAGATAAATGCACACATACATGAAAGAGGAACTGCAACCTTAATTCCTCAAGGGCCTGCCCGCTCCAGGACATCTCGCCAAGCCCAGCAAGGCAGCTCAGCATGCCCTCTGCCTCGGTATATCGTGTCCTCAAGCTGAGCTCACGCTTGAGCTGTGGTGAGGCCAGGGTCTTGCCAGTGTCGCCTGGACTCCTGTTTTCCTAGAGACTTTTCTACAGTGCAGGTGTGATGCACGGTTAAGCGCAGGGGCTGTGGGCTCACTAAGACCTTGGCTGAAATCCCACCGCTTAATAGCTGTGTGACCCATGGCAAAATTAAAGCTCAGTTTCCTACTCTGTAAAACAGGAATTCTACAACTTACCAAGAAAGAATACACGGACTCAGAGAGTTGTTTTGAGAACCATATATTTGTAAAGTTCAGAGCATAGAATCTGATCAAGAATGAAGATTCAAAGTCAGACATTATCATTTGTAGAAACAAGTTGTACCAACTTAATTGGAAAACATTTGGCCAAATTCATTACCTTGTACAGTTAAATGGCAGTTTCTGGAACAAATCTAGAGAAAACTGTACTACTTTCATTTTAGGAGCCTGTATATACGTCATTGATTCTACATGATTCTTCCCTTGATGTTTTCCAATTGTCTTTATGTGAGTGTTCCCTCCCCCCACCTTAACCATTGAGATGACAGACCTCAATTCGTTATTTTCATAATTAAACTGCCAAAATATGCTGTTTAAATTATTCACAGTCAGACTGAAAGATTCTAATTCTAATTCTATATGACATATGTGGGGTTACATTTCACAATATTAATCTGTTTTCTGTGCAATTCCTACCTTCTCTCTCTTTTTTTTTTTTCTCATTCTACTGTTTTCCTCTCCCTAGCATGAAGACTCGAAGAAACCAGTCTAGTGCAGGTGAGAGATATTCACAGGCAGTAAACACAGTAAACACAGGGATCTAATCCCAAAGATCACACAAGACTGATATGGAGGAAGAGAGAAGGGAGTTAGAGAAGCAACTCACACTGCGCAGGGTGGAGTGGCAGAAACAGGCATCTGCCAGGCAGGAGAGAGGTGGAAGGACTGGAGACCTGGGGGAAGGGTCCATTTACCCAGTGAGCAGAGATTCTAATCGATCCTTTGCTTGTAATAACCTACCATCCAATAGTCCTTAACACTGATGGGCCTACCAGAAAAGAAGGAAGGGCCATAATTGTGTAATGTTGGGGCATAAAAGGAAAACCTGATCCATTTACCTTGAAACTGAATGCAAACTGCTAAGAATTTCCTCATAAACTGGGACAATGATGGACTGAATGCCAACAACACATTGCAGGGATTGTCTAAAAAATGAATAACTGAATTTGGGGCAACCTGGATTGTCCTGCCAATATAGCATTACCCCTGGACAAGCTCGAGGCATGCCCCCGCCGACCCTCTACTGTGATTACACATGGACTCTTGATTGCCAGACAGAGGTGCATAGAAATGGGGAGAAAAATCATTCTACATGGTCAAGGTATAGAGCTATCTTCTAGCTGACAACAGAACTGGGACCATAACAACCAATTTAAGATACTCAGTGACACAAAGTTCAGGGATGGAGATGCCAAAAAAATCAGATCTCTCATGTATGTGAAGCAGAGACTTAAAATTCAAAACCAGTAAACAAGACACTTCCGTGAAGGGTGGAAGAGGCAAGGCAGGCGCTACACAGGGAGAGAAAGTAGCTCCTTGTCTGAGTTGGTCTGCCTTAAAAACTATGTGGCAGGAGTAGAGTGAACAGGGGCGTCTGCACAGTCAGCCGGTTGCCCCAGCCCCAGCAACTGACTCATGACTTTTGCTCCTTATTTTTAACAGTATCACATGGTGACTGGGTCATTTGGTAAAGAAGGGACTTAATCTGCCCAGATGAGCATCTTTAGGCCTACATTAAAGATGTCAAGTTCCAATGTGGGAACCATGCTTGCTGCGTCCAGGAGAAGGTCCTTCCTACAAGGCAGCTTACCTGGAGATTATTCAGAGCCCCAAGCTGCTTATGTCAGCATAATCTAGACACTAACACTGGAACACAGAGAGCGTGCTTAAAGTACCTGACCACTTCATCTCTTTTGTTCCAAACTATTTTAACAGTAACCACAGGCAGAGCTCATCTGAGAAGGTCTTGCTGGGGTTCACTCTGGTGGGGGTGAGGCCTTGGGGTCGCCTGCAGTAGGAAGCGCCTAGCAGGAGCACTAAAGTCTAAAAGCATGGCCAGCCTCTTATGGGTGGGCCCGCAAATACAGACTGATCCAAACCCTGCAAAATGTGTTGGGGACACTCTCTTGAGGGAAAGGAGTGGTAGAGTCAGCATATGGCTTTCCTAGGGCACATCTGTGGTCCAGAAAAAGGGCCGTATTGTTTCCTCTTTCTCTTTTGATGTTTGGGAGGTTCTGGGCTCTGCCCGCTGATTTCTGCTTTGGAAATGAGACATCAGGGACAAACCTTCAAGGACAGATCTGGCTGCCAGAGATGTTTCTCAGGGATGCATAAATTGAAATGAGCCACTGGAAAGCACCAGCAGAGGAACGGAAGTCTGTGATGGAACTGAGAAAATTTCCTGTTGAAAAGGCAATTGTAGCCTCATATTTTGCGTTGTGGTTTGAAA